GTGTCTTGGCCTGCCCCCCGCGCCCCCCATCTCCTCTGTCTCCCACACTCTGGAAAGCCCAGCTGGGATATCCAGGTCGGAGCCTCACTGGCAGCCCCTGGAAGTCCAGAATGAGGGGTCACTGCCTCTCGCCCACCCAGAAAGGGCGCAGGAGGGGGCAGCAAGATTGCGGGGCCTGTCTGGCCAGAAGGAAATGTCTGTGCTGTGGCCTGGTCACCCCCGCCCCCAGGACCTGCTGGGCTGCTGCCGCCCCCGGGCCGGGGCTGAGGCCGAGTAAACACAGCAAACACAGCCGCCGGCAGCCTGGGATATTTATACCGAGGCTGGGCGTGGGTCCAGTGCCCACCACAGCCCCTGCCCTGCCCTGCTTTGCCTGCTGCCACAGCCAGCTCCGAGCCAGCGTGGCACCAGCTGGCAAGGGGACGCGCCACAGACATAGCCGGCGCTGGGTATGGAGGCCAACAGGCACTGGCCGCTCACGACGCAGGCGGCTTCATGGATGTACCCTGTTCCCCTCCCCTGAAAACACCAGCACACAATGTGGACCCACACTCGCAGCCACTTGGGAACACACATCCACCCCTGCTGAGAACCTGAGAATGCGAAATGCCCTCAACGGTGATGCAAAACAGACCCACACAACTCCACACACTGCAGTCACCAGCCTGCATGTGGGAACACAGCACGCAGACACCACTTAGCACCTGCTCACAGCACCCACAGCTGAGAACACCAGTCCCTGAGATGAACACACACAGCCCCGAAGTACAGCCCTCCCTCACACACACACACCCAGAACCACAGGAAGCATGCTGGATGCACACCACGTAGACAAGCATGCTCAGAATACCAGCGACACATGCACTGATCACAGTGCAACCCAGGAACGACTCACAACTCACCCACCTCATATGTAAGAAACACACACACGGCCGGGCGCGATGGCTCACGCCTGTGTCTCAGCACTTTGGGAGGCCGAGGTGGGCGAATTACGAGGTCAGGAGTTCGAGACCAGCCCCGCCAACATGGTAAAACCCGATCTCTACTAAAAATACAAAAATTAGCCAGGCGTGGTGGTGGGTGCCTGTAATCACATCTACTCGGGAGGCTGAGGCAGGAGAATCTCTTGAGCCTGGGAGGCAGAGCTTGCAGTGAGCCAAGATTGTGCCATTGCACTCCTGCCTAGGCGACAGAGCAAGACCCCGTCTTACACACACACTCCCCTCTCCTGGAAAAAACATCACTCACAGATCGATTAACATATGCAGAAAACACCACATTTCAAGTCAAACTTACACTAAAAAACGCACAAATTTACACCCAGAAGAACAGTGAAGATGTTGAGAAAAATATCAGACACACAATATGCCCCAGATACATGGCCGACTTGGAGAATCAAACAGTGCCAGAGCATAAAACCCACAGAAAATACAACAGCTTGCCCAGCAGAAATACAAAACGCAGACGCACACCCCAGAAATGCAGCGCAGCCACAAACACACGGAGCGAACACGTGCTGGGGACACACACAGACAAGACCATCCATACCAAACAGCACACAGGCCCCCAGAACACCCATGCCAGATGCAACTCACACCACAAAGCTTGGAATCACACACACACAATAAGGTCCTGAACACACACAAATCCACACTGGAACCTCAAACACTCTGCATATCCAGAGATTGAGGGGGAAGGGGCTTTCTTTCACCCCCCAACCTTCCCACTCCCCCTCGGGGACCTGGGTCCCGGGGCTGGGGATAGGGGGCAGGAAGGCCTGAGCTGGCCTCCCCCAGCGGCTTCCTGCCCCACGGGGGCTGCACAGGAAGCTGGGGCTCCAGCCGGAACCCAGGCTCCCCCCACGACTTCCCTCCGTGGCCCCGGCTGCCTGCAGAGGCAGGGGCGGGGCGGGGGGAGGGAGCAGGGAGCCCCAAACCCCCTGCCCTGCCCCTGCGGTCGGCCTCGGGCGGGGGCAGACTTGTCCCGACGGGGCTAAGCCACCCATCGGGCCTGGGTGCCAGGGTGGCAGGGCAGGGGCAGTGCACACGCGGCCAGGGGAAGGTGCTGAGCCCACAGTTTCCCCTCCCCACCCTGTGGGGCTCTGCCAGCTCAACCGGCAGCCCGGGGCAGGTGGGCGGGGTGTGTCACGAGGGCGTGTCGGGCAGGCCGACCACACCGCGAGTGTGCAGCCAGCACTTGTCCTCAGGCCGAGGCACGAGCTGGGGCTGGGCGTGTGAGGGCCGTGTCTGCCACCCTGGGGGTGTGTCTGCTCCGTCTGGGACCCTGGGTGTGACAGTGTGTCTGGGCGTGACGGGGTCGCTGCAGTCTATGGGGCCCTGTGGGACTCCCCAGGCTGGAGTTGTGCGTGCGTGGTGGAGGGTGTGGGATGTCAGACTGAGTGGGTAAGACCGACCTGCTGTCTGTGCGGTTGTGACGTGTCAGACCTCCGTGTGGGGTGTGTCTGGTGGGACTGTGACAGGTCCGACCGTGGACATGTACCCTGGACCTGTTTGTGACTGTGACCCCGTGGGGGAGGAGGTAACTGTTGGGAGATCCATTTCCTGTCCGGGCTCTGATGTCGTGATGCGTGTGCGTGCATGACACTGAATCAGTGTCTGGTGTGCGGTGGTTGCGACCATGACCCTATGGAATATATTTGTATATGACTGTGTTGTGCCAGGTCCCTATTGAAGTCTCTGCTCCTGTTGTGTCCCAGTGAGGCTCCGAGGCTGGGTGGTGTTTATGTGATGGGCTGACACTTTCTCTGTTTGTATCTGTGTATATGTGGGCTGTAGCTGCTGCCAAATGACACAGCCCATGTGTTATGGGCCCTGCAGGAGTCTCTGTGTGTCCACGGCGGCTTTGAGAGGTGAATGTTTGTGTAGTGTGGGGCACCGTCCGTGTTTCCCCCCTTGTGAGTGTGTCTGCGTGTGTACACACACCACATCCTTGCAGGGCTGCAGGGATCACAGCCGAGTCACTGTGTCCTAGCTTGTGACTCTGCCTCTTGAGCCAGGCCTCAGCATCTCTATACCGATCCATTTGTTGGCATGTCCTTGTATAGTGAACTCCTGCCTCCCCACTCCTCCCTCAGCCCTCTGTGCTTTTGGACCTGAGGCCAGTGGAGTAACCACATTTCTACCCCTACGCTGAGCTGGGAAGGCCTCAGGTCCCTGGCACCCAGACCCAGTGCTACCAACAGCTCTCATGCCCACAGGCAAAGGAACGGCAGCACTCACACTGTCCTCCCTCCCAGGACAATCACTGGGTGTGGGGAAGTGAAACCTGGGAGAAAGAGCAGAAACTGAGAGCCAGGAGAAAGAGGAAGCAGGAGGGAATTAATTCACGAGCAGGACCATAGCAGATGGGAAGAAACGGAGACTGCAGAGGCAGACCCACCCATGGCTGCTGCCGTTTCTTGCCTGGACAGCTGGTCTCTCTGTGCTCACCCTCACCCTGACACTTCTGTCCACTCCCAACCATGAGCCAGACGGCGAACCCTCTGAGCACCTAGGTCAAACCCTGCCATGGCTCCTGTCTTCCTCAAGTACAAGTTCTTTCTTTCTTTGTTTTTTGAGATGCTGTCTCACTCTGTTGCCCAGGCTGGGGTGCAGTGGCGCGACCTTGGCTCACTGCAACCTCTGCCTCCCCCGTTCACGCGGTTCTCCTGCCTCAGCCCCCTGGGTAGCTGGGACTACAGGTGTGCACCACAATGCCAGACTAATTTTTTTTTTGTATTTTGCATTTTTATTTATTTATTTGAGATGGAATCTCGCTCTGTCGCCTAGGCTGGAGTGAAGTGGCACGGTCTTGGCTCACTGCAACCTCCACCCCCTGGGTTCAAGTGATTCTCCTGCGTCAGCCTCCTGAGTAGCTGAGATTACAGGCGTGTGCCACCATGGCTAATTTTTGTATTTTTAGTAGAGACAGGGTTTCACCATGTTGGTCAGGCTAGTCTTGAACTCCTGACCTTGTGATCTGCCCGCCTCTGCCTCCCAAAGTGCTGGGATTATAGGCATGAGCCACCGCACCCAGCCTTTTTTTGTATTTTTATTAGAGGCAGGGTTTCACCATGTGGTCCAGGCTGATCTCAAACTCCTGACCTCAAGTGATCCCCCCGCCTCGGCCTCCCAAACTGCTGGGATTGCAGGTGTGAGCCACCGTGCCCAGCCTTTTTTTGTTTGTTTTTGTTTTTTAAGATGCTGTCTTGGCTGGGGCACTGGCTCATGCTTGTAATCTCAGCACTTTGGGAGGCCGAGGAGGCGGGTGGATCACCTGAGGTCAGAAGTTCGAGACCAGCCTGAACAATATGGTGAAACCTCGTCTGTACTAAAAAAAAATACAAAATTAGCCAAGCGTGGTGGCGCATGCCTGTGATCCCACCTACTCAGGAGGCTGAGGCAGGATAATCGTTTGAACCCAAGAGGCGGAGGTTGCAGTGTGCCAGGATCTCGACATTGCACTCCAGCCTGGGCAACAAGAGTGAAACTCTGTCTCAAAAAAAAAAAAACAGTGGGGTCTTGCTTTGTCACCCAGGCTGGCATACAGTGGCACAGTCAGGGCTCACTGCAACCTTGACCTCCCAAAAAGTGCTAGGATTACAGGCGTGAGCCACCCTGCCTGGCCTGAACTACCATCTTTTACTGTCTTCCTCACCATCCCCCGCTAAAGCAGGTTCCTAGTGGGCAGGAGCTCCTCCCTTAACCTCTCTGGGCTTGTTTCCTCACCTTTAGAATGGGTGTTATCAGAGTCCCTGCATCTCAGATTGTTGCTAAGGTGACTGACTGAGTTCATTAATGTAAGGCACTTCAACAGTGCCCAAGGTGCTCAATAAATAGATCTAACTACAGTAGTGTTCTCCACTGGTTCCCTGTGCCCTGATGCGGGGCAAAGGAATAGTGCAGACAGGCAGGAGGAGGCAGAGAGGGACAGAGATGGGGTGGGAGTAGCGGAACGTCAGGGAAGGAGACCCCAGGCAGGCGCCCAATGACACAGAGATCCGCAGTCCTCTCTCCATCTTTAATGGGGCCCCAGGTGGGCTTGGGGCACGGGTGTCCTTAAATACAGCCCCCAAGGGCAAGGCAGCGGGGGCGGGGCGGGGCGGGGCCGGGCCTGCCGGGGTGGGGCGGGGCGGGGCGGGGCCTCAGCTGCATTTGCAGGAGCGCACGATCATGTTGGACAGCTGCTCCACCTTGGGCTTGCGGCCCACGTAGTACACGATGGGCAGCGGCTCCAGCGCCTGCGGCACGCAGCACGGCGCCGCCGAGGCGCCCGGGTTATGCTGGTTGTACAGGGCCAGGACCTGCGGGCGGCGGGCGGGGTCAGGGCTCAGGGCTCGCGGAGGGAGGAAGATGGCCCTCCACTGCCCCATCCCCCACCCCCTACCGCGCCAGCCTCTCCCCGCATCCCCGTCCCCCTCTTCCCATCTCCAATTCGGTCTCTGTTATCTTCTAACATCCTATCTTATTCTGTCTCTCCCCACCTGTCTGATTTTCTTTTTGTTTTGAGACTGGGTCTCGCTCTGCCACCCAGGCTGGAGTATAGGGGCGCGATCAAGGCTTGCTACAGCCTCAACCTCCTAAGCTTAAGTCATCCTCCCGCCTCAGCCTCCGGAGTAGCTTGAATCACAGGCAAGCGCCACCACTCCTGGTTTTTTTTTCTTTTTCTTTTTTTTTTTTGGTAGAGATGGGATCTCACTCAGCTGCCCGGGCTATTTTCGAACTCCTGGGCTCAAGCGATCCTTCTGCTTCAGCGTCTCAGAGTGCTGGTATTACCAGCGTGAGCAGCGGTGCCCGCCTGATTTTCTTTCTCAGTCTCTACCCTTCCTCGTCGTCGCCTCTTGCCTTGTTGTATGCCTTTGTCTCTCCTTGCTCTAACTCTGTGTTTGTATCTGCCTCTCTCATTTTGTCTCTCCATTTCTCTCTGCCTTTTTCCTTCCACCTCCCTGTCTGTCTTCCCCCCTTTACCCCCACCCCTCTGTTACTTCAGTTCTGTGGGCCTTCATATCTCATCTCCCTCTGCCCCCTGCTCAGAGCCCTTCTCTAGCTTCCTGCCTCTCTCCCCATCTCTATCCATTCCCTTTCCCACCCCATCCCTCTTTCTCCCCATCCTGCCAACTCACCTCTCTGACTTTACTTCTCTTTCTCTCTCCTCTTCCTCTGTCCTGGCTCCCCGCAAGCGCACCTCCTAGCCCGGTGGGCCAGACATACCTTGCTGTACTGCGTGTCCAGGCTCCAAATGTAGGGGCAGGGCCCCAGGCAGAAGTTGGCATGGTAGCCCTTGGGCTCGTGGATCCACTTCCAGCCGAGGTCCTTGCGGAAGTCAATATACAGCTGCCGCACGCAGCAGTTCTTCTCCGTGGAGCTGCAGGCAGGAGAGACGCGTCAGGGGTAGGGAGGGGCTACCGCCACAGGAGCTGTGTGCCCCTCCTCCCCAGGTGTGTGTCACCCTAAGTTGCCCCCCCCCCAGGCCTATCTCCATCTGGGTCTCCCTTGCACCCCATGTTAATAACAACACAAATAGTCATGATAATCACTAACACAGATTAAGCACTTCCTCCAGTCAAGCACTGTGCTAAGAGCGATGTAATAATCTCATGCAATGCTTAAGACAAGCCTGTAAGAAGCCAGATGACCATCCCCCAGGGGGCTAAATAAATCATGGCATGCCCACACCCTGGAACATACAAAATAACACGGCTCCATGTAAACTGATCTATTCTGTTTGTGCAACAAATGTTTATTGAGCTACTACTGTGTGCTGGGCTGGGATCTACTAGGGGCTGAGGACAAATGAAATAGATAGAAATAGGATAGGCATGGTGGCTCACGCCTTTAATCCCAGCACTTTGGGAGGATGAGGTGGGAGGATCGCTGGAGTCCAGGAGTTCGAGGTTGCAGTGAACTGGGATCACACCACTGCATGCCAGTCTGGACAACAAAGAGCAACACCCTGTCTCTAAAAAATTTTTTTTCAATTTTTTAAAAACAGACAGAAATCTCTGCCCTCCAGGGTCACGCTATAAATTGTCATGTCACTCCTCTGCTCTGAACCTGGCTCCACCTCACCGCAAATGCCCAAGTCCTCACCGTGAGCCACAAGGTGCTAGCAAATCTGGCTGATCTCAACTCCCTCTCTCCCACCTACTCCACACCAGCCGCACTGGTATCCTGTCTGTCCTCAGGCAGTCTTATCTCAGGGCTCCTGCATCTGCTGTTCCCTCTCTGTCTTGCTAGTCCCACAGATACCCACTCCAGCTTGTTCCTTCACTTCTTTTTTCTTTTTTTTTTTTTTTTTGAGACAGAATCTCACTCTGTCTCCCAGGCTGGAGTGCAATGGCACAATCTCGGCTCACTGCAACCTCCGCCTCCCAGGTTCAGGCGATTCTCCTGCCTCAGCCTCCCGAGTAGCTGGGATTACAGGCGTGTGCCACCACGCCTGGCTAATTTTTTGTGTGTTTTTAGTAGAGACAGGGTTTCACCATGTTGGCCAGGCTGGTCTCGAACTCCTGACCTTGTGATCCGCCCACCTCGGCCTCCCAAAGTGCTGGGATTACAGACCTGAGCCACCGCATCTGGCGCATTTATTATTTTTAGTTTGTTATTCTTTTTAGATACACGGTCTCACTATGTTGCTCAGGCTGGTGTCGAACTCGGGCTCACACGATCTGCGTACCTTGGCCTCCCAAAGTGTTGGGATTACTGGCATGAGCCACCGCACCTGGCCCCTTCACTTCATTTAAACCTTAGCTCAAATATTCTTCACTCAAGGACCCTTAACTCCTAAAGCAGTATCTGGAATGCAGTAGGTACTCAGTAAATATCAGTTACGTGACTGAACATCACCTCCTCGGAGATACCATTCTGAGCCATCCTTTCCAAAATATCCAAGGGACTATTAGTTCCCTTTAGTGCAATACGGTATTGCAGTTATGTAAGAAAATATAAAAATGCATGCATTTGAAATGGGGCAAAATCTTAATCACCAACGACGCTGGATGAGAGTTTACAGGCGTTCATTATCTTCATTGCTTTTGTATACATTTGAAATTTTCCATAATAAAGCAATTTAAATCAGAATAGGAAAAATAATCGTTCCCAATATCTATTACTCTCTGTCTGCCTTCTTCTGATTTGTTTTACTTCTTAGAACTGTCAAAGAGGCTGGACGTGGTGGCTCACGCCTGTAATCCCAGCACTTTGGGAGGCCGAGGCGGGTGGATCATCTGAGGTCAGGAGATTGAGGCCAACATGGCGAAACCCCGTCTCTACTAAAAATACAAAAATTAGCTGGGCGTGGCAGTGCTTGTCTGTAATCCCAGCTACTCAGGACGCTGAGGCACAAGAATCGCCTGATCCCAAGAAGCAGAGGTTGCAGTGAGCCAAGATCACACCACTGCACTCCACCCAGGGCAACAGGGTGAGACTCTGTCTTGAAAACAAAAGAAAAAAGAAAAGAAAAGAGAAAATAAAAGAAAAAGTTGACAGTGCTTTTTTTTTTTCTGAGACAGAGTCTCGCTCGGTCACCCAGGTTGGAGTGCAGTGGCGCGATATTGGCTCACTGCAACCTCCGCTCATAGATTGGTGGGGCCAGCCAGGCGCGGTGGCTCACACCTGTCATCCCGGCACTTTGGAAGGCTAGGGCAGGCGGACTTGAGGACCCTGTCTCTACTAAAAATTCAAAAATTAGCTGGACATGGTGGCGGGCACCTGTAATCCCAGCTACTCGGGAGGCTGAGGTAGCAGAATCGCTTGAACCCAACTTCAAGTGGCATCGGATAACCTGGAGGCAAGATAAAGCCTCTCCAAGAGCCACAGAAGCCTGAGAAGGAAGTCAAGAAACTGAGATCCCTGTGAACTCAGCCTGTACCACCCAGTGTGGTTGGACCTCAGTTTCCTCATCTGTTCAGAGGTAGGTGCTACCAGATCAAATACCATGTTAACCTGAGGGCCAAGGGACCATCATGGGCAGGCTTGAGGAGGGTCCTGAGTGCCTGAGATCATATGCACATGCGTGTATGTGTGCATGTATTTCTGGGGAAAAGGTTCCTGGTGTTCACTTTCTCATAGGAGGTTCTGAACTCACAAAAGGGGAAGAACTAGTGTCCAGATCATCTTTTTTTTTTTTTTTTTTTTTTTTTGAGATGGGAGTTTCACTCCTGTTGCCTAGGCTGGAGTGCAATGGTGTGATCTTGGCTCACTGCAACCTCAACCTCCTGGGTTCAAGCAATTCTCCTGCCTCAGCCTCTCAAGTACCTGGGATTACAGGCATGCGCCACCATGCCCAGCTAATTTTTTGTATTTTTAGTAGAGGCTGGGTTTCACCATGTTGGCCAGGCTGGTCTCGAACTCTTGACTTCAGGTGATCTACCCACCTCGGCCTCCCAAAGTGCTGGGATTACAGGCATAAGCCACTGCGCCCGGCTCAGAATCATCTTTAATGTCCAGTTCAACCCTAGCTGGGGTTCTGAGGTCCTAGGATTTGAACAGTCTGTGATACTGTTATCCAAGTCAACAGCTCTCCACGTGGGCTCCCAGGACCAGTGGCAGCATCACCTGGGAACTGTGGGAAATGCAGATTCTCAGGCGGCACCCCAGGCCACTGAAATCAGAAACTGTGTGTGGGACTGGGAACAACAGTCTGTGTTGAACAAGCCCTCTAGGTGATCCTCTGACTTATTTTCTCAGGACGCATTCGGGGCCTACCCTGCACTGGGCCTTGGGATACCCACAGACCTTGCCCTTGCCCTTGCCAAGCCTCTTCCGTCCAGTCTCACAAGACCTAGGCTGGGTGCAGTGACTCATGCCTGTAATCTCAGCACTTTGGGAGGCCAAGACCGGTGAATCGCTTGAGCCCAAGGAGTTTAAGACCAGCCTGGGGAGCATAATGAGCCCTGTCTCTACAAAACTTTTTTTAAATAAAAGACCCAACAGAGACTGTTGAGTAAAAGATCTACTTAGGGCCCCAGGGGAGGCCCAGAGGCCTCACATTCACCTTGGATGTTGGAGAAAGGGGTTAGGAAGGAGGTAGTGTTCGAGCTGCCTTAAGAACAAATTTTCCTATGAAAGTTTTTTTTTTTTTTTTGAGATGGAGTCTTGGTCTATTGCCCAGGCTGGAGTGCAGTGGTGCAATCTTGGCTCACTGCAACCTCCACATCCCAAGTTCAAGCAATTCTCCTGGCTCAGCCTCCCGAGTAGCTGGGATTACAGGCACGCACCACCATGCCCAGCTACTTTTTTTGTATTTTTAGTAGAGACCGGGTTTCACCATGTTGGCCAGGCTGGTCTCGAACTCCTGACCTCATGTGATCCACCCGCCTCGGCCTTCCAAAGTGCTGGGATTACAGGTGTAAGCCACCACACCAGGCTGGAAAGTTTCAAATGCACACAAAAGCAGCTTCAACAATGATCAACTCATGGCCAATTTCCATTGCAGCTCTACCCCTATCCACTATCTTTTTTTTTTTTTTTTTTGAGACAAGATCTCACTGTGTCACCCAGGCTGGAGTGCAGTGGTGCAATCACAGCTCACTGTAGCCTCCACCTCCTGGGGTTCAAGTCAACCTCCCACATCAGCCTCCTGAGTAGCTGGGACTACACATACACACCACCAGGCCCATCATATAGAGATATATATATATATATTGTTTTGGGGAGATGGGGTTTCACCATGTTGCCCAGGCTGGTCTCCAACTCTTAGGCTCAAACAATCCTCCTGCCTTGGTCTCCCAAAGTGGTGGGATTATAGCTGTGAGCCACTGCACCCAGACGACATTGGTTTATCTCAAAGCACATGCAATCCACCAATGTTGCTTCATCCATAAATATTTCAAATGTATCTCTAATTAAGACTACTTTAAAACACAGTCACAATACCATGTAAGAAAATTAACAATTCATTGATATCATCAAATGTCTAGACAGAGTTCACGTTTACCCAACTGTCTCATAAATATCTATTTCTTTAAAAGCCTGTGTAAATAAAGATTCAAGTAAGGTCTACACATTGCAATTGGTTGATATCTCTTTTAGGAATTTTTTTTTTTTTTTTTGAGATGGAGTCTCACTCTGTCACCCAGGATGGAGTGAAGTGGTGCAATCTCGGCTCACTGCAACCTCTGCCTCCCAGGTTCAAGTGATTCTCCTGCCTCAGTCTCCCAAGTAGCTGAGACTACAGGTGCCTGCCACCATACCTGGCTACTTTTTGTATTTTTATTTTATTTATTTATTTATTGAGATGGAGCCTCACCTTTGTTGCCCAGGCTGGAGTGCAGGGCCTTGATCTCAGCTCACCTCAACCTCTGCCTCCTGTGTTCAAGCGATTCTCCTGCCTCAGCCTTCCTAGTAGCTGGAATTACAGGTCCCCGCCACCACGTCCAGCTCATTTTTGTGTTTTTAGTAGAGACGAGGTTTCACCACATTGGCCAGACTGGTCTTGAACTCCTGACCTCAGGTGAACTATCCACTTCAGCCTCCCAAAGTGCTGGGATTACAGGTGTGAGCCACCACACCCGGCCTAATTTTTGTATATTTAGTACAGACAGGGTTTCACCATGTTGGCCAGGCTGGTCTCCAACTCCTGACTTCAAGTGATCCACCTGCCTCAGCCTCCCAAAGTGCTGCGATTACGGCCATGAGTCACCATGCCTGGCCTCTCTTAGAACTTTTTTCAAAATCTACAGAATCATCTCTCTCTCTCTTTGTATATATATTCAGGGTCAACTATATATAGACTGACCCTTGGACATCATGGGTCCAATTACACAATTCACCACTGACAGGTGAATTTTTCTTCCACCTCTGCCACCCGTGAGATAGCAAGACCAACACCTCTTCTTCCTCATCCTCAGCCTACTCAACGTGAAAACCTTTATAAGCCACTTCCACTCAATGAATGGAAAATATACTTCCTCCTTCTCATGATTTTCTTAAGAACATTTTATTTTCTCTCTTATTTTATTTAAAAAATACAGGCATAGGCCGGGAGCAGTGGCTCAAGCTTGTAATGCCAGAACTTTGGGAGGCCAAGGCTAATGAATCACCTGGGGAGTTGGAGACCAGCCTGGCCAACATGGTGAAACCCTGTCTCTACTAAAAATACAAAAATTACCTGGGTGTGGTGGCATGTGCCTGTAATCCCAGCTACTTGGGAGACTGAGGCAGGAGGATTGCTTGAATCTGGGAGGCGGAGGTTGCAGTGAGCCGAGATCACTTCACTGCACTCCAACCTGAGCAACACAGCTAGACTCTGTCTCAAAAATAAAAAAATAAAAAACAAAAACAATACGGCCAGGCGCGGTGGCTCACTCTGCAATCCCAGCACTTTGGGAGGCCGAGGAGGGTAGATCACTTGAGGTCAGGAGTTCCAGAGCAGCCTGGCCAACATGGTGAAACCCCACCTCTACTAAAAATACAGAAGTTAGCCAGGCATGGTGGCAGGTGCCTGTAATCCCAGCTACTCAGGAGACTGAGGCAGGAGAATTGAACCCCTGGGAGGTGGAGGTTACAGTGAGCCGAGATTGTGCCATGACCCTCTGGCCTGAGTGACAACAGCAAAACTCCGTCTCAAAAAAAAAAAAAAAAAAAAAGGATATAGGACATAATACATAAAATATGCAAAATATGTATTATTCAGCCGGGCGCAGTGGTTCATGCCTGTAATCCTAGCACTTTGGGAGGCTGAGGCAGGCGGATTGCCTGGGCTCAGGAGTTCGAGAACAGCCTGGGCAACACGGTGAAACCCTGTCTCTACTAAAATACAAAAAATTAGCCGGGCATGGCGGTGGTCACCTGTGGTCCCAGCTACTCAGGAGGCTGAAGCAAGAGAATCACTTAAACCCGGGAGGCAGAAGTTGCAGTGAGCCAAGATGGCGCCACTGCACTCCAGCCTGAATGACAGAGTGAGACTCCATCTCCAAAAATTTTTTTAAAAAGTATTAATCAACTGTTTATGTTATGGATAAAGCAGAATTCCAGTCCACAGTAGGCTATTAGTAGTTAAGTTTTTGAGGAGTCGAAAGTTGAATTTTGGCCGGGCGCGGTGGCTCACGCCTGTAATCCCAGCACTTTGGGAGGCCGAGGCGGGCAGATCACGAGGTCAGGAAATCGAGACCATCCTGGCTAACACAGTGAAACCCCGTCTCTACTAAAAATACAAAAAATTCGCCGGGCATAGTGGTGCGCGCCTGTAGTCCCAGCTACTCGGAGGCTGAGGCAGGAGAATGGCATGAACCCAGGAGGCGGAGCTTTCAGCGAGCCAAGATCGCGCCACTGCACTCTAGCCTGGGAGACATAAGCGAGACTCTGTCTCAAAAAAAAAAAAAAAAAAAAGTTGAATTTTGGCTGCATGGGGGGTCAGCACTCCAAACCCCTATTGTTCCAGGGTCACTGTGTGTGTGTGTGTGTGTGTGTGTGTGTGTGTGTGTGCGCATGCTTTCCCCTTCTTTGCATTGTATTTGATGAAGAAACTGGGTCAGGTTTCTCGCAGTCTGAGTTTTGCTGACCATTTCCTCTGTTATTGTCTTTCTAGAAAACTGTTAGGATCTACAGTCCTGATCAGATTCAGGTTTGATTTTGATTTTGTATGTGTGTGTGTGAGACAGGGTCCTGCTCTGTCCTGAAGTGTAGTGGCGTGATCCTGGCTCACTGCAATCACAGCCTCCTGGGCTCAAGCACTCCTGCCTCAGCCTCCCAAGTAGCTAGGACTACAGGCACACACGACCCAGCCCAGCTAGTTTTTTGTATTTCTTGTAGAGAGACGGGGTTTACCATGTTGCACAGACTGGTCTTGAACTCCTAAGCTCAAGTGATCTGCCTGCCTTGCCCTCCCAAAGTGCTGGGCTTACAGGCATGAGCCACTGCACCCGGCCTTCAGTTTTGATTTTTCGGCAAGACTTCCCAGGCGACGTTGGGTTCCTCCCTACAGAGGCTCACATGGCTGGCTGCCTCCCTTTGTAATGTCAGCTGCTGTTGGCACTCAAGACCTCAATTTGTGGCAGGGTGCAGTGGTTCATGCCTGTAATCGCAGCACTTTGGGAGGCCGAGGTGGGCGGATCATGAGGTCAGGAGTTCGAGACAGCCTGACCAACATGGTGAAACCCAGTCTCTACTGAAAAAAAACAGAAATTAGCCAGCTGTGGTGGCACGTGTCTGTAATCCCAGCTACTCAGGAGGCTGAGGCAGGAGAATCGCTTGAACCTGGGAGGTAGAGGTTGCAGTGAGCCGAGATTGCACCACTGCACTCCAGCCTGGGCAACAGAGCGAGACTCCGTCTCAAAAAAGACCTCAATTTGTTCATTCACAGGGTTGCTGGGCTGATGGCACTAAGATCTGGTGGTGAAGGAGCCTGATTTTCTGGCAGGGAAGCAGCAGGTAACAAAGCCCAGAGACACCACCAAAATATTTTAAGCAGGGGAGGAATAAAGTCAGATGATCACTCTAAATTTACAACATACTAACTCTCCATTTCAACTTTCTAGGAATCCAACATTTCAGCTTTCTTACAGAGCAAGACTCTGTCTCAAAAAAAAAAAAAAAAAAACGCACCCTGTCCCAAAATTAAAAGACCCCCATTTTTTTTTTTTTTTTTTTTGGGGGGGGTGGGGTATTTTGTGTTTTGTAGCTGTGATTATAGGCGCCCACCTCCATACCTGGCTAATTTTTGGATTTTTAGTAGAGACGGGTTTCACCATGTTGGCCAGGCTGGTCTCGAACTCCCGACCTCAGGTGATCCACCTGCCTCGGCCTCCCAAAGTGCTGGGATTACAGGCATGAGCCACCGCACCCGGCATAAGACTCTCGGTTCTTACACCCAGACCTCATTCCCTGAGCCCTCCAAGCTAAAGGAGACAGACGCCCAGCCCAAGCACGGCACCAGCCAGGTGTTCAACCTGGAGCACCTGGTCAGCAGATGGCGGTCATGCCCCCAGCCTGGAAGGTCTCCATCCAAGGATACAAGGCTCACCTGAAGCAGTAGTTGGTGTCCAGGGCTCGGCGGTGCCGGGAGCTTTGCAGATGTTGGGCCCTCTCCAGTGGGGTGGCCATGAGAAGCAGGAAAGGCCGGTTCATGCCATGAATTGTGGCCAGGTCACCTCGGCGGCCGGTAGTGAACCCTGCTTTGGTGTGGGAGTCAGGGGATAGAGGACATACACACACACTCTCAGAGGGATAGATAAGTGGGGCGTGGGGCAGATGGGGACACGCACGCACGCACACATGTCACAGCTGGGCATGGCCAGGGAAGCAAGCCTCACCGTTGATGTCCACTTGCAGTGTGTTATCTTTGCTGTCACAGGAGCAGTGGGCGCTAAGGCGAAAGCCCTCAATTTCCCCTGTAGGAGTGGGGAGAGGGAAGCCAGTCTGAGAGTGCAGCTCACCCAGCCCCTGGAGGAAGAGGAAGGAAGGAGCAAAGCCCAGGGGGTTCCTTCCTGCCTCCCCCACCCACCCCACTCTGCCCTCTCACTGCAGCTCTTTTTTTTTTTTTTTTGAGACAAGGTCTTGCAGCCTTTACCTCCCAGGCCAAAGCAATCCTCCCATCTCAGCCTCCCGAGTAGCTGGGACCACCGGCGCGTGTTACCATGCATGGCTAATTTTTTTTTTTTTTTGAGATGGAGTCTGGCTGTGTTGCCCAGGCTGGAGTGCAGTGGCGTGATATCAGCTCACTGCAACCTCTGCCTCCCAGGTTCAAGTGATTCTTCTGCCTCAGCCTCCCAAGTAGCTGGAATAACAAGCGTGCACCACCACGCCCGGCTAATTTTTTGTATTTTTAGTAGAGATGGGGTTTCACCATGTTGGCCAGGCTGGTCTTGAACTCCTGACCTCAGGTGATCCACTGGCCTTAGCCTCCAAAAGTGCTGGGATTATAGGCGTGAGCCACTGCACCTAGCCTACATGGCTACTTTTTAAATTTTCTGTAGAGACAGAGGTCTCGCTATGTTGCTCAGGCTGGGCTCAAGCAATCCTCCTGCCTTGGCCTTCCAAAGTGCCAGGATTACAGACATGAGCCACTGCACCCGGCCAGCATCAATCTCTTGAATGAATGAGTGAATGATATTTTCTAAGCTCCTACAATGTGCCGAAGCCTGTGCTGTGTGCTTGGGACTCAGCATTGACCAAGACAGATGAAATCCTTCTAGGCCTTTATCGAACAGCCCAGGACACTCCTCTTGGTGCCCACCTGCTCCCTAATCCCTATTTTTTCTCATTTCTTTTTTTCCTTTTTTTTTGAGACGGAGTTTTGCTCCTGTTGCCTAGGCTGGAGCACAATGGCACAATCTTGGCTCACTGCAATCTCCGCCTCCTAGGTTCAAGCAATTCTCCTGCCTCAGCCTCCCAAGTAGCTGGGATTACAGGCATGCGCCATCACGCCCAGCTAATGTTGTATTTTTAGTAGAGACAGGGTTTCTCCATGTTGGTCAGGCTGGTCTTGAACTCCCGACCTCAGGTGATCCACTCACCTTGGCCTCTCAAAGTGCTGGGATTACAGGCGTGAGCCACTGTGCTTGGCCCACTAATCCTTATTTTTTCTTTCTTTTTTTTTTTTTGAGACGGAGTCTTGCTGTGTCGCCCAGGCTGGAGTGCAGTGGTGCGATCTTGGCTCACTGCAAGCTCCGCCTCCCGGGTTCACACCATTCTGCCTCAGCCTCCCAAGTAGCTGGGACTACAGGCGCCCGCCACCACGCCCGGTTAACTTTTTCTTTTTTTGGATTTTTAGTAGAGACGGAGCTTCACCTTGTCAGCCAGGATGATTTCGATATCCTGACCTTGTGATCCACCCTCCTTGGCCTCCCAAAGCGCTGGGATTACAGGCGTGAGTCACCATGCCCCCTAATCCCTATTTTTTCATGTGGCCAAACTACTATTTATCCTGTGAGTCTCCACATAATCACGCTCACCCAGCAAGCCCTCCTAGACTCCCCAGATGGGTCTGGGAACCTTCTCTGGGCTCCCAGCAGCGCTTAGGGCATCCCCCATCCTGCACGCCTCTCTGTCCCAGCCTTGTCCTCTCTGCCCGTGCCTCCCCGTCCCATCCTCAATCATTCTAGGTCATTCCTGCCTGGTGGGGCAAGATCTCTTCGGTGTCCAGAAGTGACTGTGGGCCCCATGAGGGCAGAACTGAGGGCTGTCTTGGTTACCACTATGTCCCCCACACCACCCAGCACAGGGCCAGACACACAGCAGGAACCTGTGGGCAATGACTGAATAAAAGCATACATGAGAGGGAGGTGAGGGAGAGAGATATGGGCACCATGGCCCCTGCCAGGAACTGGACAGAGACAATCATCTTCGGGACAGATCAAATGAGTTAGGCTCTCTGGCCTCTGGGCCTTTGCACAGACTGTTCCCCTTGCCTGGAACACTTTTTTTTCTTTTGTTTTGAGATGGGATCTCACTCTTTCGTGTAGGCTGGATTGCAGTACTGTGATTACGGCTCACTGCAGCCTCCACCTCCCAGGCGCAGGTGATTCTCCCACCTCAGTCTCCCAAGCAGCTGGGACTACAGGCGCGCACCAGCATGCATGGCTAATTTTTGTATTTTTTTGTAGACACCGGGTTTTGCCGTGTTACCCAGGCTGCTCTCAAACTCCTGAACTCCAGTGATCCATCCTCCTTAGTCTTCCAAAGTGCTGGGATAATAGGTGTAAGCCACCGTGCCCAGTCCCAGAATACTCTTACACCTCTCCTTTTCCTGACCATTCTACTCATCGCTTCAACATCAGCTATGGTGCCCCTCCTCCAGGAAGCCCTCCCTGATTCTGGGCTGGGTCAGGTACCTCCTTTGGGCTCCCCATCCCGGTCCCACCCACTCTGGGTCATCACCGCCTTACAGGTCTGTTCCCCAGCTACCCACCCAATGAACTATACGAGCTCTATGAGGGCAAGGATGGGGCTGTTTTGGTCATTGCTCTGTCCTTAGCATCACCCATCACAGGGCAGGGCAGAGAGGTGCTCAGGAAACAGATTAGCCAATCACTCGGGTTTCCAGGCCACAGAGGGGAGCCAGGTCTCAGTACTTTCACACCAGTATGGGGCGGAGAGGGATCCTAGGTAAAGTGACCCCAAGACAAACAATGGGGTGCACCCCACTGAGAAACAGGGGTGGGACACACAAGTGATCCTCACCTCCGCGGCTCAACCACTGCCGCACAACTCCGGTGACATCAAAAGACAACCACTCCGGCGAGTCGCTGGGCGCCAGCAGCCGGTTGCTGAGGTATCGCCAGGAATTGTTGCTGTATTTCTAGAGGATGATGAAGTTGGGAGAGAGACAGTGGGTATATGCTGCCACGCCCCCTCATATACTAACTCAACCCTTCACCCCATCTGCTTCCAGAAAGTTCCTAGGCACTACCTTCTCAGACAGCCATGCTGTGTGGTCCTGTGGCACCCATCCTCCCCCACAGCACCCGAGAGAGGAAGGGTGGAGAAAAAGCCCAGGCTGCGGTCGAGGCGCCTTCACACAGCTCAGTCGAACGTGTTTTCTTGCCTTCTCCGGCCTGTTTCCTCATTGGTGAAATGCTAAGCCCCACTCAGCGTGGACAGCCCACAATGCTAAAATTCCGCTGCTAACATTCTGGGCCGGGCACAGTGGCTCACGCCTGTAATCCTAGCACTTTGGGAGCCCAAGGCGGGTGGATCACTTGAGGTCAGGAGTTCAAGACCAGCCTGGCCAACATGGTGAAACCCCATCTCTACTAAAAATACAAAAATTAGCTAGGCATGGTGGCGTGCGCCTGTAGTCCCCACTGTTTGGGAGGCTGAGGCAGGAGAATTGCTTGAGCCCGGAAGACAGAGATTGCAGTGAGCCAAGATCCCACCACTGCATTCCAGCCTGGGTGGCGGGATGAGACTTCGTCTCAAAATAATATTAATAAACAAATAAATAAATAACAAATACAATTCTGCTGCAAACATTCTGGGGTTTGCTGGGCATGCAGTTCTGCAAATTTAACACCCTGAATTTTAAGTCAGTAACTTAGAAGTCATTTTGTGATTCAAATGTTTGATGATATCCCAAGATTTCCACATTTAATGAGCCTGAGAAGCTTTAGAAGACTAATGTTCTATAAACCCAAGAGTCTGCCAAGCCGCACCTAGATGCTGGAGGCACCCAACATCTGTGTAGTATAATTTTCTGGGCTGGGCGCAGTGGCTCACGCCTGTAATCCCAGCACTTTGGGAGGCCGAGGCAGGCAGATCACCCGAGGTCAGAAGTTCAAGACCACTCTGACCAATATGGAGAAACCCCGTCTCTACTAAAAATACAGAATTAGCTGGGCGTGGTGGTGCATGCCGGTAATCCCAGCTGCTCGGGAGGCTGAGGCAGGAGAATCGCTTGAACCCGGGAGGCAGAGGTTGCAGTGAGCTGAGATCGTGCCATTGCACTCCAGCCTGGGCAACAGCAGCAAAACTCCATCACAAAAAAAAAAAAAAGAAGAAGAATTTTCTGGGGCTGGATAGACCACTCCAGGGTCTGCAGAATAAAGCTGAATTCCCCAGACTCCAAGAGGCCAAGCTAACATAGGACAAAGTTCTCTCACTATGAAAGTCTGAAATCTACCATCCTATGAGTTTAACATTCCCTCTGATGTGGATTCTAGCTCATAGAAACTGCTAGAGCCTCCAGCCCTTCCAGATGCCCCAGTCCTCTTGGAAGCTCCGTATCTTCTAGAGCAGTGCTGTCCTAAAGAACTTTCTGGAAATGTTCTTTATCTGCAACATCCAAAATAGTAGCTGCTAACCACATGTGACTATAGAGCACTAGAAATACAACCAGTGAGAATGAGGATTTGTTTTTCTTTTTTTTTTTTTGAGACAGTCTCGCTCTGTTGCCCAGGCTGGAATGCATGGTATGATCTCCGCTCACTGCAGTCTCCACCTCCCAGGGTCAAGCGATTCTCCCGTCTCAGCCTCCTGAGTAGCTGGGATTACAGGTGCCCGCCACCACACCTGGCTAATTTTTGTATTTTTAGTAGAGATGGAGTTTCGCCATGTTGGCCAGGCTGGTCTTGAACTCTTGACCTCAAGTGATCCACCCACTTGGCCTCCCAAAGTGCTGGGATTACAGGCATGAGCCACCACACCTGGCCTATATATATATTTTTTGAGACAGGGTCTCGCTCCATCACCCAGGCTGGAGTGCAGTGGTGCAATCACAGTTCACTACAGCCTCGACCTCCTGGGCTCAATCAATCCTCCCACCTCAGACTCCTGAGTAGCTGGGACTAGAGGCACTCATCACCGTTAACAGGCTAATTTTAGTATTTTTTGTAGAGACCAAGTTTCAGAAGGTTTCCCAGACTGGTCTCGGACTCCTGGGCTCAAGCAATCTGCCTGCCTCAGCTCCCCAAAGTGCTGGGATTAGAGATGTGAGCCACTATGCCTGGCCCTAAATTTTTAATTTAATTTTAAATACTTTAAATTTTAATCAAGTTAAATGTGACTAGCGGCTGTCACATTGGACAGAATGAGTCTAGAGTCCCCAACCTTTTCAGAGATCCCAACTTTCAAGAATCCTGTGTCCTTAAAGAGTCTAACTCCTAAGATTCCAGGCTTCTAAGTGTTTAACGTCCTAGGATGCAAAGAGTCTGAACGTTTAAAAGCGCTCTAGATTCCTGGTGCGGAGGCTCACGCCTGCAATCCTAGCACTCTGGGAGCCTCAGGTAGGAGAATCACTTGAGGGCAGGAGTTCGAGACAAGCCTGGCCAACATGATAAAACTTTGTCTCTACTAACAATACCAAAATTAGCCCAGTGTATTGGTACATGCCTGTAATCCCAGCTACTCAAGTGGCTGAGGCAGGAGAATCACTTGAAGCCAGGAGGCGGAGGCTGCAGTGAGCCGAGATCAAGTCATTGTACTCCAGCCTGGGCGACAGAACAAGACTCCATCTCAAAAAAAAAAAAAAAGGCAAGGCGCAGTGGCTCACGCCTGTAATCTGAGCACTTTGGGAGACCAAGGCGGGTGGATCACGAGGTCAGGAGTTCAAGACCATCCTGGCCAACATGGTAAAACCCCGTCTCTACTAAAAATACAAAAATTAGCTGGGTGTGGTGGTGCACGCCTGTAATCCCAGCTGCTTGGGAGGCTGAGGCAGGAGAATCACTTGAACCCAGGAGGCGGAGCTTGCAGTGAGCTGAGGTCGTACCACTGCACTCCTTGGCAACAGAGCGAGACTCTGTCTCAAAAAAGAAAAAAAAAAAAAAGAGTCCTGAGACTGTATGGTTTGTATTCCTCTATCCTTCAGGGACCATCTAGGTGGACCGTGTAGCCCGCCCACCCACAGCGGCCCCGCTGGTCACAGCTCACCCTCTCCAGCCCGTGCCCTGACCTTCCTTCTGGCTCATGTCCTCACCTGGTACAGCTCCACATGCTGCTCCACTTTTAACTTGAGCCTCAGCAGACGCAGCTCTGCCCGGGAGAGCAACACAGGTTCAGGTACTGCTTCTCGGAGCTCTGATGTGTTGAAGAACATATATATGCTGTGTGTGCTCTGCTTGAACTTGTCATAGATTTCTAGCAGGGAGAAATGAAGGAAGGCGATCAGGGGTTTGGCAGAGGTGAGGGGAGCTGGTGCTCCCAAGTCTAGGAGGTTTGGAGCTGACAACTCTGGGGTGGAGTCAGTCTCTGATACCTTTTATTTATTCATTTATTCTTTATTTTATTTTTATTTTTTTGAGATGGAGTCTCGCTCTGTCACCCAGGCTTGGAGTGCAATGAGATCTCTGCTCATTGCAACCTCTGCCTCTTCGGTTCAAGCAATTCTCCTGCCTCAGCCTCCCAAGCAGCTGGGACTAAAGGCGCATGCCACCACGCCCAGCTAATTTTTGTATTTTTAGTAGAGATGGGATTTCACCATGTTGGCCAAGATGGTCTCGATCTCCTGACCTAGTGATCTACCCGCCTCGGCCTCCCAAAGTGCTGGGATTACAGGCATGAGCCACCAGGCCCAGCCCTGACTGTGATACTTTTTAGCTGTGTGACCTTGAGGAAGTGGTTTCTCCCCCTGGGGGTTTGTTTCCTCCTCTGTAAAATGGGTCCTAACCACACTCCTCTCTCATGTAGCATCATCTGTCAAGTCGACTAAGGCTGGCACTAAGGGGAACTACTCTGTTTGCTCTGGCCTTCCTTACCCCAAATGCAAGAGCCCCTAAAATGCAGAGTAAGGATCAAGGGCACAGGCTTTGGACTTAGATAGTGCCTCTGCTCCCTCTCGGCTGTCTGACCATGGGCAGTTAACACCCTCTTTCTGAATGTCACTTTCCTGTTATTCTTTGAAAACCAGCAATAACATTAAGCTCCCTGCACTCCCACCCAGACTCTCCTAATTGAAGCGCTGTGTAACCTTGGGCAAATGAATTCCTCTCTCTGAGCCAGGTGCTCATCTATAAGGCAAGACAGAGCGACTCTAGAATCCATTCCAGGATTATAGTGGGAAATTAGATGACCCAGGTCAAGCCATGTGACACCAATTCTGTATATACTGGTCACTCAATCATGTATACATTTAAGAGCACTGGCTGGGCACGGAGGCTTACACCTGTAATCCCAGCACTTTGGGAAGCCGAGGTGGATGGATTACCTGAGGTCGGGAGTTCGAGACCAGCCTGGCCAATATGATGAAGCCCTATTTCTACTAAAAATACAAAAATTAGCCAGGCGTGGTGGCGGCCACCTGTAATCCCAGCTATTTGGGAGGTTGAAGCATGAGAATCGCTTGAACCTGAGAGGTAGAGGTTATAGTGTGCCGAGACTGAGTCACTGTACTCCAGCCTGGGTGACAGAGTAAGACTCTGTCTCAAAAAAAGCAACAACAATAAAAAAAAACCCACAAACAGCGCTATTTACCAGATGCTATTTAAAGCACTTTACAAAGATGAAGACATTTAACCTCACAACCTTATACTATTATTATAACCATTTAATAGATGGAGAAACTGAGGCACCAAGATTAAGTAATTTGCCCCCAGGTCACATAGCTGCAGACTGGGATTCAAACTCAAGCTGTCTAGTTTCAGAGACTGTGCTTTTTTTTCCCCACCCAAGAGACAGGGTCTCATTCTGTCCCCCAGACTGAAGTGCAGCAGCACAACCATGGCCCACTGCAGGCTGGAACTCCCGGGCTCAAGGGATCCTCCCACCTCAGCCTCCCAATATGTTGAGATCACAGGCATGAGCCACCGCACCCACCCAGCTAGAGACTGTGCTCTTATCCCCTAAGTGATTGTTCTACTTCTTTTTATTATTAGTTTTCCACCCTTAACTCCCTTCCCCAGCTGGTTAGGGAAAGTGATGTTCATTCTGGGTAGGAATGGCTGTAGCGGGGACAAAAGGAATTAAGGTGTTTTCTTTTCTTTTCTTTTTTGAGATGGCGTCTCTGTCGCCCAGGCTGGAGTGCAGTGGCACAATCTCTGCTCACGGCAACCTCCGCTTCCCAGGTTCAAGTGATTCTCCTGTCTCAGACTCCCAAGTAGCTGGATTACAGGCGCCGCCCGCCACCCCGCCCAGCTAATTTTTGTATTTTTAGTAGAGATGGGGTTTCTCCATGTTGGCCAGGCTGGTCTCGAACTCCTGACCTCAGGTGATCCACTCGCCTTGGCCTCTCAAAGTGCTGGGACTACAGGCGTGAGCCACCGTGCCCAGCCAAGTTATTTTCTAGTTTAGGAAAAGTTTGGGGTTGGGGATGAGGCAATAGGCTATGAACTCCTGGATCAACTGGGGCAACTGCTTCCAGCCTCCTATAGTGGGGGTGTGAAAAGAGACTGGTGAGAAAGGCAGAGGAAACCGCTTCCTAGGGCTCCCTTCGATCTTCCTCCTCTTCCCCAGTCTCCCTCCCCACCCAGCCCCAATAAGCCCTATTCTTGGCCCAGAAGTTACTCAGCAAACCCCAAAGGAAAGGCAGAGCCTTGGCTGGGGAAGACAGATAGGGAGGAAGAGAAAGAGGAGGGAAAGGAAGGGTTGGAGGGTGCTGCGGAGAGGGAGAGGCGGTCAGATGCTAGAGACAGAGACGAGGCGAGAGGACCGTGGAGGAGAAAAATAGAAAGGGAGAGAAAATAGTGGAGAGACAAAAACCAGAAGACCCATGCGTGGACAGAGAGACTAACGGAGATGAAAAGAAAGAGGCAGATGGGGACACACGTGCGAGAAGAGACACATGTGCATTTGTTGGGGAGAAGAGGATTGGAGATGTCAGTGTTAAAGGAGCCTCTACAACGAAGGTGAAGCACGGAAGATAAGGCAAGGCTGAGACTTGGGTGCAGTGTGCGCGTCATTGGGCTGGAGCCGTAAACTGGCGCAAGAATGGGCCGGCGACCCGCAAGCCCACACCGCCCAAAAGTCAGTGAAACCTAAGGGATCTTCCCCAAGGCTCTGAACCACGCGGGACGCCTGGGTCCTCGCATGGATGGACGGGGCCGGCTCAGTGGGAGCCCCGCCCGTAGCTGGGGTGAGGAGGGCGGGAGGCGCCGCAGCCAGGAGGGCGGGGACCAGACCTGCCCCGTCTCGCCCCGGGCTCCGCGCGCGGTCCCCGCCCCCGCCGGGGGCATGGGAAGGAAAGGGAAGGGAGGAGAGTGAGGCGGCCGGACGCTGGGGTTTCCCCAGCCACCTTGAGAGGAACTGGGGCTCTGGGGTCCAGACTGCCAGCGTTTAGCGCAGTGGGGTCCTCCTGCCCCTTGGTGGAAGCGCAGGCTCCTCCCCCCGCGCGTGGCACCCACGTGGGGCTTTCTCACTCCTCCCAGCTTGGTTTTCTCACCTCGGTCTTGTAGAGTCACTCCCCACCCAGCACTTCCCCTGCGGCTGGACTCCGCTCAGCCCATTCCCCTGCATCCTGCGGCGAGTGGCGGAGTGGGGGGGGCGCTCAATGCTCGCGGGGTGGATGGCTCTGGGTATCTCTCCTCCGCCCCGCTCACACCACCTTTCCCATGCTTGTCTCCCCTCTCGGTAAAGCTCTTCCCATGACCCAGGATTCTAGGTCTTCTGGAAGCTCAGTTCCTCCCCTGGGCTCCCCACTCCGTCCCTCACATCCCTGTGTGAAACACCGAGGACACCTCTGCATCCCGGGCGCACTCCTGGGTCTCCGCTCCTCTCCCGCTTGCCTCCTCCTCCCAATAACCTCCCGTCCCTTTCTCTCCACATTTATCACACCCACCTCTGTTTCTCTTTCTACGACTCTCCCCCACCCCCGCATTCCGCGTGTTCCTCGCAGCCTCTGGAAGTGGGTCCGCTCTTACTTTCCTCGCACCCCCTAGGGTTGCCTTCATGTAGCTTTTCTGTCCTTGAATCTTTCCATCTCAGGACCCCCAAGCTCTGGGTCAACTTGCCCCAGTGCCTCTCCTTTCCCAAATGCTGGGGTCTTCGCTTCTCCCACACCGGGCTCCCCTCTCCCCCCTCTCCTACCCCACGACCCGCTCCCCAATTCAACCCGTCCTGGAAGAGGGAGCCTTCTACCCTCCCCCTATTGCTTCTATCCCTCTAGCGGACTACCCCCACGACCCCGCATGTTTCTGTCGCCCTCTAGAAGCGGTCCACTTCGCTATCTCCTCCTCTCCAAGACCAGATACCTGGGGGGTAGGGGACTCAGAGCCATCCTCTTTCGGACACCCCCTTCCCACCATCCCACCTTCCCTTTGCCCCGGGGGGTCCTCTTCCTCCAGCCAGTTTCCTCTGCCAGTCACTTCCTACCCGTGGCCCCGGCACTCCGGCGCCCCCTGGGGGCCCCCCTCCCGGCTCCCCTGCCCCTCCGAGCTCACCGTTGTGGGTTTCCACCATTAGCACGCGGGTGACCTCCTTGGCGTAGTAGTCGGCCTCCGGTTCGGGCTCCGGCTCCGCACTCTCCCCGGCCACCCGGTCGCGGGTGCTGTTGTACAGGGCGAGCACGGCCTCGGGCAGCGGGCCGGGCGGCACCTCCCCCTGGCTCGGGGGGCTGGCGAGCCGCAGCTTGGACAGGATCTGGCCGCGGATGGCCTCGATGCGCTTCCGCTTCACCAGCTCCATGTCGATAGTCTTGCAGGTGGATAGTCCTGCGGCCGGCCGGCCAGGCGTCAGCACCAGTAGCCACAGCAGCGGTAGCAGCAGCGGCAGCAGCCGCAGCCCGGAGGGCGGCATGGGGGAGGCGGCGCCCCCCGGCACTGCCGAGAGCGCGAACAGGGCTAGTTTGGTGGGGAGGCCCCGCCCCTGCAGGGGCTGGGGGTCCCCCGGGAAAAGGTAGGAGGGCCTCGAGGGAAAGTTGAGGTCCTCAGGGAGAAGGGCGCAGTGGTGGAGGGGAGGCTTGGACTGGGGGTGTCTCAGTATCCCACGGAAATAACCTAGATGGGCGAGATCTGGTACCAGAAGGTGGGTGGTCTTGAATAGGGGATCTGTGGCAGGTCGGAGAAAGATCCGTCTCCTGGAGGAGAAAGGGTCTAGGATGCGCGGGGGCTCAGGAAACAGGCCGGGGACGAAGGCGGCGTGCAGGGGGTGCGCCCGAGGTCTGGGGAAAAGTATTTGCGGGAGGCCGGGTCGGCGACTCCCGAGGGCTGGTCCGGAATGGGGGCGCCTCAGGGACGCCGTGTAGGGCGCCGGGAGGGAGCAAGCGTCCCTGGCGGCAAAGGGAGGGGGTCTGGGGTCCCCAAGTCCTGCCTCCTCGCGGGGCAGCGTCACGCCAAGAGGTCCCGCGCCTCTGGCTCCCAGCGGCAACGGAAAAGTCTCAAAAGTTTTTTTCCTCTTCTCCCGACCAGCTCGTCCCTCCTCCCGCTCCTCCTCCCCCTCCTCCCCGCAGTGGCGGGGGCGGCGGCGGCTCGTCTCAGACTCTGGGGCCTCAGGCTGCTCCTCGGCGACTCCTTCCTCCGCTCCGGGCCGAGGCCGGCCCCGCGGGCGGCTCAGAGCCGGGGGGGTGCCCCGGACGGGGCGTCCCCCCTGCCCCCGGCCGGGGCCCTCGCTGTCTGGCTGATCCGCGGAGGGAGGTGGGAGGGAGATGGCCCAGGGCGCGAAGGGCGGCGGCGGCGGGGACCGGCTGGGTCGGCGGGGGGTTTTGAAGCCGCCCCGGCCCCACCCAGGAAGCGCACTGGGCGGGAGCGCGGGCGGCCCCCAGGGGGAGGGCATGGGGGGGGGCTGGGCCACAGTCCTCATCTCGCGTGGGCGGGCTCCGAGGGGGGTCCCTTCAGCCCTGGGGGAAAGGGGGCGGGCACCCCGGCTCCGCCCCGCAAACAGGGTGCTGCCTCCTGGCGGCCAAGAGCCACCAAAGCGGGTGATCCAGATGCGCTGTGGCTTTGCGGGCGGTGTGGGTCACCAGAGAAAGAGGACCAGGCGGAGAAGGCTTAATCCGCGGGATGAGACACAGGGGAGCCGACCAGAGGAGGGGGACCCAGAACGGGAGGACAGTGTGAGGCTGGGACACAGGGTAGGGGAAGAGGGTCTGTCAAGTTGGGGGCCTCGGGAGGGTGTCAGTGGGAGGAGGGGGCAACAGGACACCTGAGGGATGGAAGGGTCAGGAGGCAGACACCTGTAAGAATTGCTCTCCTTTACTGAGCACCTCCCATGTGGCTAAGCAGCCTCTTGTCACCCAACATCCTGCGACCCCATACATTTACTCTCCCCAATTTACAGATAGGGAAACTGGGCCCAGAGGGACCCAGAGGTCCTAGCAAGGACAGGAGTCCTCAGCTGGGGTCCAGCTCTGATGGTCTCCAGAGTCCGTGCTCCTGACCACTGTGCCTCACTGGGTGTCCAGGGTGTGGATGGTGGTGGCGTTGGAGACAGGGTCCCTCAGCACTCAACGCCATAGCGGTCGAAGTTGCGGAGCAGCAGGCTGATCTCCACGTGCACGGTGCCACCAGCAGCTGTGTGCAGGCGATAGCGGTCGGCCCCACTGTAGATGGTGTCCACATGCAGCAGCTGTGGCCCACCACCCACGAAAGCCCGTGCCAGCTGCTCTCGCCAACTGCCCAGGGGCCGCCAGGTGGGGCAGGCCAGCTGGTGTGTGCCCGGGCTGCTGGGCACATGGCAAAATCCATAGCCTGCAAGCTGGCAGCGGCCAAAGCTGTCCTGGGACCACACCTGGAAATGGAGCCGGGGCCAGCCTGCAGGAAAGCAGGGAGAGGGGAAAGGAGGGATGGGTGGGGACCAGACTCCTGCTCCTGATTCCCCCCTCCCTGGTACTCACTGGAGACCCCAGGCCCAGTCCTTTCCTCTCTGGGTTTCTGTCCCAGGGTTTCCAACCCAGCCTCCTTTCTAGACTCCCACCCTCTCATCGATCCCCACACAACTGCCAGAGATCTTTCCAAATCCATGTTACTCCCCTGCTAAGGATCCTTCCATAGCTCCCCAGTGCCCTCAGTATGAAGTTCAACCTCTTCAACATTCAAGGCCCTTCAAATCAGACCTCTGCTGAATTTCCTTTCTGTGTTATCCTCCTCCATGACCCCATGTCAGGGCAGCCCATTGCTCCTCCAGTCCCCAGGTAACCATCGTGGGCCTTGTCAGGGTCACCTCCTGCCTTCCCTCCTCATGTCCCTGCCCTGCTCTCTTTGGGCCCAGGGCCTTCTTTCTTGCCCCTCTCTAATCCACCTTCCACCTGGCATCTGGAAGCATCTTTCCTTCCATAGCTTTGCCCACGTCCTCAGAACACAGTTCAGCTCCTCAGTCTAGTAGTCAAAACCCTTGGAGATCCAGCCCCATCTCATCTCATGCTGACCCCTTCCCCTGTGCCAGGCCCTGTTCTAGCTAGCTGGGGACACGGCGGACATGAACATGGATGGCAGACAGAAATTCCTGCCCCCGTGAAGCTGATATCCTAGACAACAAATGTAGTGAATAAGCAAATTATAGGTTAGATCGGATGGTGGTAATTGCTGTGGAGAAAAACAGAGCTGGGTAGGGTGAGGGTGGGGATACCGCTGTAGAAGGGAATCAAGGAAGCTTCACTAAGAAGGTGACATTTAAGCAAATGCTAAAAGGAAGGAAGGGAGTAGGCCATGTGGCCATCTAGAGGAAGAGTGTTCCCAGCCAGAGGGAACAGCAAGTGCCAAGGCCCTGAGAGGGGAGTGTCTGGTGGGGACGGCATGGCCGGAGCCCCGACAGAGTGTGCCTGGTGGGGATAGCATGGCTAGAGCAGAATGAGGTGAGGAGAAGGGAAGGAGGTGCCAGCCAGGTTGTGGAGAGCCTTGTGATGCATGCTAAGACTTTGGCTTTTACCCTGAGTGAGATGGGGACGACTGGAGGGTTCTGAGCAGAGCGGAGACAGGACCTTAGGTATTCACAGGGTTCCAGCTGCATGTGGGGTGCAGATTAGTGGGGGCTGGGGAAGGGGGCCCCAGAGACAAGATTACTGTCATAGTCCAAGTGAGAGATGAACTTGGACAGATCAAGGTGCTGGGCGAGAAAAGGGTGAGAAGTGGGATTTAGGGTGTATTTCAAAAGTAGAGGCAGTAAGATTTCCTAATGGACAAAATGGGGGCTTGAGAAAAGAGAAAGCAAGGCTGGTGCCGCCACTGGGGAACCGGAGGCCCCAAGAGCTGAAAGGTTAGAGCTGCCCACCTCACACGCACAGCACCGGAAAGTTTTTCTTTCCCCAGCTCCAGCTTAAAGGACAGAAAGATAATATTTAAGAGTGAAATCTCGGCCAGGCGCGGTGGCTCACACCAATAATCCCAGCACTTTGGGAGGCCGAGGCAGGCGGATCACCTGAGGTCAGGAGTTCGAGACCAGCCTGACCACCATGGTGAAATGCCATCTCTACTTAAAAGAAAAAAAAAAAAAAAGGCAAAAATTAGCCAGGTATGGTAGGACACAGCTGTAGTCCCAGCTACTTGTGACGCTGAGGCAGGAGAATTGCTTGAACCCAGGAGGCGGAGGTTGCAGTGAGCTGAGATCTTGCCATTGCACTCCAGCCTGGGTAACAAAGCGACACTGTCTCAAAAAAAAAAAAAAAAAAAAAAAAAAGTGAAATCTCACTTGTCCATCACCTGCTCTGGCTCCCAAGTGCCTTCAGGAGATGGCCTCAGCTCCTCAGCCTGGCACTCAAGGTCCTGCATGAACTGTCCCCTGCTACCTTTCCCTGCTGCTGTCCCACTCTCCCTCAGTCCGCTAGACACCCTTGGTTCACTCTCCCTTTTGAGTCTTCCACATGTAGCTCCCTCTGCCTAGAACCTTCTTCTATCCCTCTGCCTTATTAGCTTCCACTGGCCCTTCACAGCAAAGCGCAGAAGCCCCCTCCTCCAGGAAGCCCTCTGTGACCTCCCTGACAGAGTCAGGCACTTCCTCTGGGCTCCCACGGCCTCTCCAAATTGCCTATCTTAGTCCTGCCCACTCTGAGGTGCCACTGTCTGGAGAGAGGTGTGTCCCCTCCATAGGATGGTGAACTCTGTGAGGAGAAGGCTAAGGGGCACTGCCTTGATCCCCAGTGTCTCCCTGGCATCACCCAACACAGGCTGGACACAGGGCAGGCACCAGGTAAACATTCTTTATATTGGTGAAATATACGGCACATTTACCTAGGCAATTTCTCAGAATCGACTCATCTTCAGGAACCCACATTTCCTACCAAAAGGTTTTCTGATGCCGCTCCTCCCCCAGTACTGATTTCCCCTTTGAGCAGTGGCTCTACTTTCAAGCCGAGGAGCCCTTCCTGGAGAAACAGCCCTTGCCTCTCTCAGACCCTGCCTCCCGGCTTCCTCTTTATTGGAAACTCTCGGTTTGTCTCTTTACTTGAATGCCACCTTCCCTCCCACCCTGACCCCCACCTTCCCATCTCCCGCTCCACCCTGGACTCTGCCCTAATCCTACAAACTTGGGATCGCCTATTGAGCAGGCCTGGGAAAGTCTTAGCTCAGCCTCTCCAGGGCCAGACTTGCTGCAAAAGGGACCCACGTGGTATGGGGAGCAGGGACAGGTCTTGGTGTTCCCAGACCCGGGGCCTCAGAGGCTACTCATCCCCTCCCCTCAGCCTGGCCCCAGGACCAGGTGTGGTACCCACCTTGAAGACCTTTGGTGGCGAAGTGCAGATCGATGGGGTGGGACCAGTAGGCCATGTCCCCTATCTGGGGGGTGTCCACCTGCGTTTGGCCCTCCCGCACGCCTGACAGGAGCTTCCACGCCGCCCCTGCAGTGACAGCGGAGACATAGAGGGGTGGGAGGCAGCCACTGGGAAGGGGACGCCACTGTAGCTATAGGACTGTTACTCCGTGGCATCTACTGGTAGGGGTTATGAAGCGTGGACTCTGGAACCAAGTATCTGGGTTCAAATCCTGGCACTACCTCTTCCTGCCTCTGCAACCTTGGGCAAGTCATCTATGACTTGGTCTCCCCATCTATAAAAAGGGCTGAGCAATAATGCATTCCCCATTGTCTTCATTTGTCTTCTGTTACTCTTAATATCCAAAACTGGGTAATTTACAAAGAAAAGGAATTTCTATCTCACAGTTAGGGGAGAGTGACCAAGGTGGAGGGGCCCCATCTGGTAAGAACCTTCTTGCTGGGGGGACTCTCTGAAGACTCCCAAGGCTAGTGTGCTAACATGCCACTCACGTCTCTCTCTCATTTTATAAGGTCATCAGTTCCCCTCCCATGATAACCCACTAATCCATTAACCCATTAATCCATGAATGGATAATGAGCATAGTGAATGCGGGTAAGTCTTCAATATCATTTTATTACTATTCGCACCCCACATTTACAAGCCTAGTCCAAGGATTAAGAGGAGGTCAAGGGTACCCCCCAGGAGCACATCCTGAAACACACATAACAATTTCGATCCCACTGAGGGGTGATAATGATAGCTAAAATGCACTGAGTGGTCGGACACAGTGGCTCACACCTGTAATCCCAGCACTTTGGGAGGCCAAGGCAGGCAGATCATTTGAGTCCAGGAGTTCAAGACCAGCCTGGCCAACACGGCAAAACCCCATCTCTACGAATAATATAAAAATTAAGGCTGAGCTCGGTGAGCATGGTGGCTCATGCCTGTAATCCCAGCACTTTAGGAGGCTGAGGCGGGCGGATCACCTAAGGTCAGGAGTTCAAGACCAGTCTGGCCAACATGGCAAAACCTCGTCTCTACTAAAAATACAAAAATTAGTCTAGAGTGGTGGCAGGTGCCGGTAATCCCAGGTACTCAGGAGGCTGAGGCACAAGAATCGCTTGAATCTGGGAGGGAAAAGTTGCAGTGAGCCGAGATTGCACCATTGCACTCCAGCTGGTGTGACACAGTAAGATTCCATCTCAAAAAATGAACAAACAAGCCGGGTGCAGTGACTCACGCCTGTAATCCCAGCACTTTGGGAGGCTGAGGCGGGCAGATCACCTGAGGTCAGGAGTTTGAGACCAGCCTGGCCAACATGGTGAAATCCTGTCTCTACTGAAAATACAAAAATTAGGATGGGTGCGGTGGCTCACGCCTGTAATCCTAGTACTTTGGGAAGCCAGGGCAGGTGGATCACTTGAGGTCAGGGGTTCGAGACCAGCCTGGCCAAAATGGCAAAACCCCATCTCTACTAAAAACACACACACACACACATACAAATTAGCCCCGGGTATGGTGGCGCACGCCTATAATCCCAGCTACTCGGGGGGCTGAGGTAGGAGAATCGCTTGAATCCAGGAGGTGGAGGTTGCAGTGAGCTGAGATTGCACCACTGCACTCCAGCCTGGGCAACAAAGACTCTGTCTCAAAAACTAACAAACAAACAAACAAAAACCCAAGCCAAACCAAGCCAAGCAAAGAATATAAAAATTAGCCAGGTATGGTGGCTCATGCCTGTAGTCCCAGCTACTTAGGAGGCCAACGTGGGAGGATCACGTAAGCCCAGGGAGGTTGAGGCTGCAGTGAGCCATGATCGTGCCACTGCACTCCAGCCTGAGCGACAGAGTGAGCCCCTGTCTCAAAAAAAAAAAAAAAAAAATCAAAGAAAGAAAGAAATTGTACCGAGTATGGCTGGGTGTGGTGGCTCATGCCTGTAATCCCAGCACTTGGGGAGGCCGAGGCAGGCAGATCATGAGGTCAAGAGATCGAGACCATCCTGGCCAACATTCTGAAACCCTGTCTCTACTAAAAAAAATAACAAAAATTAGCTGGGCATGGTGGCGCATGCCCGTAGTCCTAGCTACTCAAGAGGCTGAGGCAGGAGAATCGCTTAAACCCAGGAGGCGGAGGTTGCAGTGAGCCAAGATGTTCCCATTGCACTCCAGTGTGGGCAACAAGAGTGAAACTCCATCTCAAAAAAAAATAAGAAAATACACCGAGTACTGGCCGGGCGCGGTGGCTCAAGCCTGTAATCCCAGCACTTTGGGAGGCCGAGACAGGCGGATCACGAGGTCAGGAGATCGAGACCATCCTGGTTAACATGGTGAAACCCCGTCTCTACTAAAAAATACAAAAAACTAGCCGGGCGAGGTGGCGGGCGCCTGTAGTCCCAGCTACTCGGGAGGCGGAGGCAGGAGAATGGCGTGAACCCGGGAGGCGGAGCTTGCAGTGAGCTGAGATCCGGCCACTGCACTCCAGCCTGGGCGGCAGAGCGAGACTCCGTCTCAAAAAAAAAAAAAAAAAAAAAAAAAAAAAAAAAAGAAAATACACCGAGTACTTACTAAATCCCAGATGCTATGCTAAGCACTTTAGGCAATGCATTCATTTAATCCACCCTCTAGGACTCTTAATTCCCTCCTCACTCCCCAGTTTACACTCTCCACCATGGCCCACATGGCCTGGCTCTTGCTCCCGTCCCTGAGTTCATCTCCCATCACTCTCCCCGCCCGTCATCACCCTCTGGCCTCACGGTCCCACTTCTGTCTTCCCACCTCAGGGCCTTTGCACTGGCTGTTCCCTCTGCCTAGAAAGCTCTGCTCCTGGATGTCCCCATCCCTAGCTTTTGTTTTCATCCTTCAGGGCCCAGCTCAAGTGCCACTTCCACAGAGGGGTTCTCCCTGACTCTCTTCTCCAAACACTAGTTCCTGTCACATCATTTCTTTTCATCCTAGCACTTACCACTGTCTGTAATCACGGTGCTTCTTTCTTTTTTTTTTTTGAGGAGGAGGAGACAAGATCTCCCTCTGTCACCCAGGCTGGAGTGCAGTGGCACAATCACAGCTCACTGCAGTCAACCTCCCAGGACCAAGCAATCCTCCCACCTCAACCTCCCAAGTAGTTGGGACCACAGGCACACATCACTATGCTCTGCTAATTTTTGATTTCTTTGTAGAGACGGGGGTCTCACTATGTTGCCCAGGCTGGTATCAAACTCCTGGGCTCAAGTGATTCTCCTGCTCCAGTCTCCCAAAGTGCTGGCATTACAGGGGTGAGTCACCACACCCAACTGCACTCGTTTATCTGTTTCTTTTTTTTTGGCTCGAGTTTTTCTTTAACGAGGGAGGCAGAGGTTGCAGTGAGCCGAGATGGTGCCATTGCACACCAGCTTGGGCAACAGGAGCAAAACTCTGTCTCCCGGGTTCCAGTGATTCTCCTGCCCCAGCCTCCCGAGTAGCTGGGATTACAGGCACATGCCACCATGCCCAGCTAATTCTTTTGTATTTTTAGTAGAAACGGGGTTTCACTATGTTAGCCAGGCTGGTCTCAAACTCCCGACCTCAGGTGATCTGCCTTTCTCAGCTTCCCAAAGTGCTGGGATTACAGGCATGAGCCACCGTGCCTGGCCTGCTTATTTATTTTCTGTCTCCCCTACCGTATGGCCCAGGAAAACACGGACCTTGCACACTGCTGGATTTCCAAGACCACAAACCCAGCTCTTGGTATACAGAAGGTGCTCAATAAATGTTTCTTGGACAAATTAGTGATCCTAGGAGGTAGGAACTAATATAATTCCCATTTAACAAGAAACAGGCTCTGAGAAGGTAAGTTCATGAACATTTATTGAGCACCTGCTGTGTGCCAAGCACTGTTTTCCATGCTGGTGACACAGCTGTGACTATAGCAGACCAAGGTCCCATCATGGAACTGGATTCAGACTCAGCTCTAACTGCAGAGCCCAAGCCTTTCATCCAACTGCCTCAGTATTCTTGGCTGGGTCAACACCCCCAGCAACTCCCTGAAATAATAAAAATCAGGTTAGTCATTACTCCCTTCTGGGCTGAGTGAGGGAAGCACCAGGCCCTCAGTCAGGCTGCTTAAAAGCAAGATTTCCCAACAGCCCTATGAAGAACAAATGAGGAAACTGAGGTTCTAAGAGGGGATGGCATCTGCCCAGGGTCACAGAGAAGGTGAGTGGTGGGGTGGAACCTGGAAACCAAGTCTGACTCCAGAGTCTGCCTCTCTTCCGTCAACTGGAGGGTCCTGATTTCCTGGGAATCTCAACTTCTACCTCACTTACCTGTAGAATCAAAAAGGACCAGAGGTCAGGGGCAGTGGCTCACACCTGTACTCCCAGCACTTTGGGAGATCTAGGCGGGCGGATCACTTAAGGCCAGGAGTTCGAGACCAGCCTGGCCAACATGATGAAACACCATCTCTACTAAAAATACAAAAATTAGCTGGGTGTGGTGGCGGACGCCTGTAATCCCAGCTACTCGGGAGGCTGAGGCAGGAGAATCACTTGAACCCAGGAGGCAGAGATTGCAGTAAGCCGAGATCGTGCCACTGCACTCCAGCCTGGTGACAGAGTGAGACTCTGTCTCAAAAAAAAAAAACAACGGCCAGGCGCGGTTGCTCACGCCTGTACTCCCAGCACTTTGGGAGGCCAAGACAGGTGGATCGGGAGATCAGAAGATCGAGACTATCCTGGCTAACACAGTGAAATCCTGTCTCTACTAAAAATACAAAAAAAACTAGCCGGGCATGGTGGCGGGTGCCTATAGTCCCAGCTACATGGGAGCCTGAGGCAGGAGAATGGCGTGAACCTGGGAGGTGGAGCTTGAAGTGAGCCAAGATTGCGCCACTGCACTCCAGTCTGGGCAACAGAGAGAGACTCCATCTCAAAAAAAAAAAAAAGGGACTAAGACTCAGACATGATAATGCCAAATGGCCACATCTGTTTCATGGACATTTATCTGTGCCAGGCAACAACATACCCCAGGCTTTACAAACAAGACCCCATCAAAGTCTTGTATGAGCCAGGCAAACACTGAATGGGCACTTCATATTCCAGCCCTATTCCTATTCTAAGTGCTGTTGACATTTGTTTAGTACTCATGACAACTTCAACAGGTAAATATTTCTATTACTCTCATTGTACAAACAGAGAAGTCGAGGTGAAGAGAAGTGCCCAAGGTCACATAATCAGCCCAAGGGTGCATTAACAAGCAATAACTGGTTTTGAACCCAGGCAGTCTGTGCTCTTAACCTCAAACCTGTGCTGCTTCTTGGCTGCTATTAGCTTCACTTTCAGACAAGGAAACTGAGGCTCAGAGAGGTCAAGTCCAAAGGTCTCCAATTAATAGAAGGGAGAGTTAGTATTTAAATCCAGATCTGGCAGCCCATGGCCCTAACCATTACACTATACCATGACTCTACAGGGCCTTAGTTGGGGAAGCATGAACAAAATTACTTTCCTGGGATGTGGTGGCTCATGTTTTTAATCCAAGCACTTTGAGAGGCTGAAGCGGATGGACTGCTTGAGCCCAGGAGTTTGAGACCAGCCTGGGCAACATAGCGAGACCCTGTCTCTACAAAAAGTTTAAAAATTAGCCACACTTGGTGGTGCGTGCCTGTAGGCCCAGCTTCTCAGGAGGCTGAGGCGGGAGGATCACTAGAGCCCAAGAGTTAGAGGCTGCAGTGAGCTATGATCACACCACCTTACTCCAGCCTGGGTGACAGAGAGAGACCCTGTCCGTAGCCCCCGCACAAACAAAAAAACAGATGGGAGCTTGAGACTCATGTGGACAGGGTGTGGGCTAAGCCTGGAGTACAGAGAGCTGATGGAAGATGAGGTTAAGGGGCTGCGGTAACGGGTGGAGGAAGGAGCATGCAGCCTCTAGGCTAGGGGTCTTGGTGTGGAAATGAACCAGGCCTGGGGGAATACCTGTGTGAATGCCCCACTTGCAGAACAGGCTACTTTCCGAGAAACCGCTGGCCCCCATGATCTGCCCGATCACGTGCACCTCAGCCATGGCCCTGGGATGGGAAAAAATATAATCACAACCCTGTGAGGTAAGTATATTATCTCCATTTGACAGGAGGGGAAACTGAGGCCCAGCAAGTAAAGGGTAGTACTAGGATTCCAAGCTAGCTTCGTCACACCCCTGAGGCTGAGGTCTTGACCACAGATCCTAATTGCCAACCCATGAAAGCCTGGAAACAATGGGGGGACCCTTGTCTGGGGAACCAGCATTTAACTCTGCGAGGTCTAAAATACCTTCTTTGGGTTCAGGTCGGCGGAAAGCCCCGCCCGAGGGGACTATGGCTCCGCCCACGAGCGCAAAAGACCCACCTTCCGCGTCATGTCAGCCACCCCGCTTCCCTCACCCAGCAAGCTCTATAAGGCGCATGCGTTGAGTTCCGGGCCGACTTAGCCACGCCTCTAAGCGCGGCGCATGCGTTATTCCTACCTTAGCGCACTTAACGGTTAGGAGAGGCGAAAGCGGCAACGGGGGTTGTAGTTCATGGGGTTGAGTTGACTCGTTTTTTTTCTCCGCGGGCGCCTACCAGGCCTGGCTCGCGCCTTTCCCAGGACCTTCCTGGCTGCGAGAGATGGAAGCCGCGATATTCCGCGTCCGCGCTCGCCTTGGGTTCCGTGGTTGTTGCTGGGGCAACAGCAGGCTCCTCCCCTGGCTTTGTACTCGCCCTCCGCGCCACTGATTGGTGCTAACCGTCCCCGGGAGGCGGGGTGAAACTGTGATGGACATTTTCCTCCTCTCGCTCCATTTTGGGAAAATAGCGTCTCTCCAGCGACGGCAAAGGGTTCCGCCATTTTGGCCGTGGCTTGGAAGCTGCCATGTTGAGTGTGGCTGAGGAAGTTTGAGTGCAGTTTCTCCCAGATGTCCTCTTTACCAAAAAAAGCAAATCCGTAACTGCTCGGTGCTGCGTGAGGACCCCACCGAAGAGCTCTCTATGGTCCAGGATCACAAATCAGAGATCGAACCACGACCAAGGAGGAATTCCTTCCAGGACCTCGTGTACATCCCCTACCTTGTAACTGGAAAACAAAGCAAAAAAATCACTCCTCATTCAGAGAGAGTGGAGAAATTGGGGAGTGGGTTCTGCTTCCGTTTTAGAGTTCCCCTAGGTTTTTCAAGGACAAGGAAGGAAGTTGGACTTACCCAACTTCTACCAAGCTACTACCAAGTTCACTGTTAAACTGCTTGAGTCTGAGCAAGGAACCGTTGGGGTAGCGAAGAGAAATGAGGAACTGGGATCCTCTCATTTGCAGAAAATCCTCTTTTCTATTGATTGATTTCTCAATCAAGAAATGGAGATGTCCCTGGATGCCATCATAGATGCCATCATTTCCCACATCAAGCCAGTCATCAGGTCCCATCAAGACTCCATAAAAAGGTCGCACTGTGTAACCCAGGCTGGAGTACGGTGGCTTGATCACAGCTCACTGCAGCCTCTGAACTCCTGGGTTCAAGGGATCCTCCTACCTCAGCCTCCCATGTAGCTGGCATCACACACATGCGCCACCACGGCTGGCTAATTCTTTTTTTTAAGAGATGGAGTCCTGCTGTGTTGCTGTGTTGCCCAGCCTTGTCTTGACCTCCTGGACTCTAGCTAGCCTCCCAGTTTGCTCTCCCATACTGCCGGGATTACAGACCTGAGCCACCCAGCCAGGCCAATAGACACGAGTATTTAAAAGCCACCCTTGGCTAGGCTCATGACTGTAATCCCAGCCCTTTGGAAGGCTGAGGCGGGAAGAGCTGTTGAGGCCAGAAGGTCGAATATAGTGAGACCCCATCTCTACAAAAATAAAAAACAAAATAATGCATATATCAACTAGTGAAATATTCCATTGAATTGTTTAATATAAGTGTTATCCTACTGAAATGTTGCCCCCTCCTTATAATTTTGGATTTTTGTTAGTGTTTTTTTTTTTGTTTTTGTTTTTTTTTTGAGATGGAGCCTCACCTTGTCGCCCAGGCTGGAGTGCAGTGGCGCGATCTCAGCTTACTGCAACCTCTGCCTCCTGGTTCAAGCAATTTTCCTGCCTCAGCCTCCCAAGTAGCTGGGACTACAGGCGCACACCACCACACCCAGCTAATTTTGTATTTTTAGTAGAGATGGGTTTTTTATATCTTTCTGGATGCTGTGTGGGTGAGGAAGACAGCTCTAACCTTTCAGCTCTTGGGGCCTCTGGTCCCCTAGTGGTGGCACCAGCCTTGCTCTCTCTTTTCTCAAACCCTCATTTTGTCCATCAGGAAATCTTACTGCCTCTACTTTTGAAATACACCCTAAAATCCACTTCTCACCTCTTTGTCGCCCAGCACCTTCATCTGTCCAAGTTCATCTATCACCTGCACTATGACAGGGACCTTGTCTCTGGGGTCTCCTTTCCCAACCCTCCTAGTCTGCACCCCACATGCATCTGGAACCCTGTGAACACCTAAGTCAGGTCCCATCTGCTCAAACCCCTCTAGTGGTCCCCATTTCACTCAGGGTAAAAGCCAAAGTCTTACCATGCATGACAAGGCTCTCCACAACCTGGCTGGCACCTCCTGCCTCCATTTTGTATTTTTAGTAGAGACAGGATTTCGCCATGTTGGCCAGGCTGGTCTCAAACTCCTGACCTCAGGTGATCCACCCACCTTGGCCTTCCAAAGTGCTGAGATTACAGGCATGAGCCACTGCTCCCAGCTGGGGTCTTCATTCTGAAGGCTCCCATGTATACATGTTAAATAAGAGAAAAAAAAAATTATTGTCAACCATAAATAACGAGATTCAGAAAATATGATTGAGGCCGGATTCAGTGGTTCATGCCCGTAATCCCAGCACTTCGGGAGGCCAAGGCGTGTGGATACCCTGAGGTCAGGAGTTCGAGACCTGCCTGGTCAACATATAGTGAAACCCCGTCTCTACTAAAGATATCAAAACTAGATGGGTGTGGTGGCACATGCCTGTAGTGTCAGCTACTTGGGAAGCTGAGGCAGAAGAATCACTTGAACCTGGGAGGCGGTAGTTGCAGTGAGCAGAGATCGCACGACTGCACTTCGGCCTGGGCGACAGAGCAAGACTTCTACTCTCTAAAAAGAAAAAAAAGTCCGGGCGCAGTGGCTCACGCCTGTAATCCCAGCACTTTGGGAGGCAGAGGCGGGTGGATCACCTGAGGTCAGGAGTTCAAGATCAGCCTGGGCAACACGGTGAAACCCCGTCTCTACTAAAAATACAAAATTAACCGGGTGTGGTGGCACATGCCTGTAATCCCAGCTACTCGGGAGACTGAGGCAGGAGAATCGCTTGATCCTGGGAGGCGGAGGATGCAGTGAGCCGAGATTGCGCCATTGCACTCCAGCCTGGGCAACAAGAGTAAATCTCCATCTCACCAAAAACAAACAAACAAATAAATAAAAAAGAAAATAACAAAAACAAGAAAAGGAAAGAAAATATGATTAACTATAGAGTTTATTCCAGGCTACAAGGCCAGTACATATGTTACAGCGATTTCATTAGTACATCTTGCTATGCTGCAGGGAAGATTGTGTTAACATTCTGTGAGGAGGAGTACTCTTTCTTCCTTCTTTCTTTTTTCTTGAGATAAGATCTTGCTCTGTTACCCAGGCTGGAGTGCAGTGGCACAATCACAGCTCACTGCAGCCTCGAACTCCCAGGCTCAAGCCTCCCACCTAAGCCTTCCCAGTAACTGGGACTCCAGGCGTGTGCCACCATGACCAGCTAATTTCTTAATAAATTTTTCTGTAGAGACGTGGTCTCACTATGTTGCCCAGGCTTGTCTCAAACTCCTGGGCTCAGGTGATCCTCCCACCTCTGCCTCCCAAAGTGCTGGGGTTACAGATGTGAGGCCACAACGCCCGGCCTAGGAGTAATGTTCTGAGGCGATCTTATCTCTGGCACTGCTTGGTCATTCTTAATCATTTACAGGAAAAAGCAGAAGTTGTAACTGCATGCTACGTGACTCAGGCTACAGAGCAACATTCCTCTCAAGGCTCGGAATAATTTAAAGTTCCAGCAGCTTTAAGTTTGAATTATCTAACCACATTGTCGGAAGCTGGCCAGGCCTGGTGGTTCATGCCTGTCTGTAATCCCAAAACATTGAGAGGCCAAAGCAGTAGGATCACTTGAGGCCAGAAGTTCTGGACCAGACTGGGCAACATATTGAGACTCCATTTCTACAAAAACATTTAAAATTAGAAAAATAAATAAATAAATAGCAGGGTGTGGTAACACATGCCTGTAGTCCCATCTACCTAGGAGGCTGACGCAGGAGGATCATTTGAGCCCAGGAGTTTGAGGCTACAGTGAGCTGTGATCATGCCAAGGTACTTCAGCCTGGGTGACAGAGTGAAAACCTGTCACCTTTTTTTTTTTTTGGTTTTTGGGTTTTTTAAAGAAAGAGTCTCGTTCTGTGGGTCAGGACAGAGTGCAGTGGTGGGATCTTGGCTCACAGCAACCTCTGCCTCCTGGGCTCAAGCAATTCTTCTGCCTCAGCCTCCCAAGTAGCTGGGATTACAGGCCCATGCCACCATGCCTGGCTAATTTTTGTATTTCTAGTAGAGACAGGGTTTCACCATGTTGGCCAGGCTGGTCTTGAACTCCTGACCTCAAGTGATCCACCTGCCTCAGCCTCCCAAAGTGCTGGGATTACAGGCGTGAGCCACCATGCCGGCCTGAAGCTGTTTTAAAATATATCTACAGAGGCCGGGCGCGGTGGCTCATGCCTGTAATCCCAGCACTTTGGGAGGCTGAGACGGGCGGATCACAAGGTCAGGAGATCGAGACCATCCTGGCTAACACGGTGAAACCCCGTCTCTACTAAAAATACAAAAAATTAGCTGGGCATGGTGGCGGGCGCCTGTACTCCCAGCTATTCAGGAGGCTGAGGCAGGAGAATGGCGTGAACCCGGGAGGTGGAGCTTGCAGTGAGCGAAGATCACGCCACTGCACTCCAGCCTGGGCAACAAAGCGAGACTCTGTCTCAAAAAATATATATATATATATGTGTGTGTGTGTGTGTGTGTGTGTATGTGTGTGTATTTATATGTGTATATATATATGTGTGTGTATATATATCCACAGATTCTTGGGCAGCCCCCTTTTAGTAGGTGGAGCCTAATTCTCCTTCACTTCAGTGTGGCTAGTTTTCGTAATTTGCCTTTAACCAATAGAATATGGGGCTGGGCACAGTGGCTCACACCTGTAATCCCAGCACTTTGTGAGGCCAAGGCGGGCAGATTGCTTGAATCCAGGAGTTTGAGAGCAGCCTGGACAACATGATGAAACCCCATCACTACAAAAAATTAGCTGGATGTGGTGGCATGCCCCTGTAGCCCCGGCTACTCTGGTGGGGGAGGTGGGAGGATCGCTGAGGCTGACAGTTGGAGGCTACAGTGAGCTGTGATTGTGCCACTGCACTTCAGCCTGGGCAACTAACTGTGAGACCCTGTCGCAAAAACAAAATGCTTTTAAGCCAAGTATGGCATACAGCTGGCAGTCCCAGCTACTTTGTTGTTGTTGTTGTTGTTGTTTTGAGACAGAGTTTCACTCTTGTTGCCCAGGCTGGAGTGCAATGGTGCCATCTCTCCTCACCACAACCTCTGCCTCCTGGGTTCAAGTGATTCTCCTGCCTCGGTGCCTGCTGCCACACCCAGCTAATTTTTGTATTTTTAGTAGAGATGGGGTTTCACCATGTATGGCTGCGCCTGGCCATCCCGGCTAGTTTGGAGCCTGAAGCGTGAGGATGACTTGAGTGCAGGGAGTCCAGGCTGCGGTGAGTTATGATGGCACCCTGCACTCCAGCCTGGGCAACAAAGTGAGAGGACACCTCTAAAAAAAAAAAAAAAAACCCAACAGGCTGGGCGCAGTGGCTCACGCCTGCATTCCCAGCACTTTGGGAGGCCGAGGCAGGCGGATCACTTGAGGTCAGGAGTTCGAGAGAAGCCTAGCCAACATGGTGAAACCCCGTCTCTATTAAAAATACAAAAAAAAAAATCAGCTGAGCATGGTAGTGAGCGCCTGTAGTCCCAGCTACTTGGGAGGCTGAGGCACGAGAATCACTTGAACCCAGGAGGTGGAGGTTGCAGTGAGCTGAGATTGCATCATTGCACTCCAGCCTGGGTGACAGAGTGAGACTCTGTCTCAAAAAATAAAAAAATAAAAAAATAAGCCTTTTAATTGTAGTAAAATATACATTTACCATCTTAACTGTTTAAAACTGTATTGTTCAATAGTGTTAAGTACATTTAAATTGTTGTGCAACCAATTTCCACAACCATTTTCATCTTGCAAAACTAAAATTTTTGCAAACTAAACACATTTTTGAAACAAAACAATTCCCCTATTCCCCCCTCTTCCCCAGCTCATGGTAATCACCATCCTATTTTCTTTCAGTTTATTTATTTCACTTTATTTA